ATTCTGATTTTAGGTTATAAAATTTGCAAAATAGCTACCAATAGCAATAAAACTTTTGATAAATACTTAGATCAATATGTTATTAAAGTTAACATACAATTGCTGCTATTGAGATTTATCATACAATTACCGGTAATAATTTAAAAGCCCACTAATATCACATTATGTTCAGTAGGAATTAGATCTCCAATTGGGTTTAAAAATATTTTCAGTTTGACTACTAATTAATTACAACCGTCACTATTATAATATGTCTATTAGAAACTTTAATTTAGGCGATTAATAGAATAAACTTTTATACTTAAAATGACACTTAATACCACCAAGACAGAATAGCAAATAGGAGTTCGGTCAGATACGCTCTGATATTGTCAATTTAGATATTAGTGCAAAGACAAAGAAATTATATTCATTATATTCACTTATTATATACCATGTTTGAACATGCATCAGATTTTGCATTATATAATGATGACAATGAAGTATTAACGAATAAAAGTTGAACTTTTTATAATATAAAGCCTTGGTATAATTACACTATGTAAATAATTGACTGCCAAATTTTTCTCCAATATGCTTAAATTTTTTTTAGGCATTTGGTAATCAGTTAACTAAGCAAAAATAATTACAGTATTGTTAATTAATTTTCATTAATTAAAAATTCAATTTTAAAAAAATATAATTAATCGCCTTACCTTTACAAATTATCGAGGTCTGTTAGAATCTAGAGAAGTGATTAAAAATATTAGGAGTTATCAAAGAAAAACATCAAGTATTTACAATATTCCTACGATTTAAATGCAAATTGCTCAATTTATTTATTAATTAATTGCTACGATACCTACTAATCAATTTCTATTACTTTATTGTTTTGTATCTCTTTGTAGGCATCTGTACCCCAAATATTTTCGTTATAATAATCCATATCTATACTATAATAATTTGGCTTACCATCGTTTGGCTTACTATCGTTCAGCTCACCATAATCCAGCTCACCAAAATCTAGCTCATTATCATCTAACTCACTATCATCCAGTTCATCATCATCTGACTCACCATTATCCAGTTCATCATCATCTAGCTCACCATTATCATAATTTGGCGCTTCTTCGTCATCGATTGACAATTCATCCAGACGATTTTCGACAATAGCTTTGAAGTGGTGCGACATTTTATCATCTTCGCTACCATTAGGATCAAGTGTAAGACCTGATGCTTCGAAAGATTTGACCAAAATATTTCTTTCTATATCTCTGATACCTATTCACAGACAAGCTCATATGATGCTTTTTTTTGGTTGCCTTTCTTAGTATACTTTTTGTCTCCTTTATCTATTTATTTATCTCACCTTTTTTTCATTTCATTTTTAAAAGGCTTGTTAACAGAGACGTTTGGTGGCTGCAAAACACTAGTAGTTCTTCCAGGTATTTCTAACACATTCAAGCCTTCTGTGTTAAATGCTCTAATTACATTATTACGATTATGACTATGATATGCATCAACAAAAATAATACCTTTGTTTTTAAAAAATCTATTTTGTCTAGCTCTGATAACCCATGGAATGTAAGTGGAAATTATTAAATTGCCAGTTATGATTGCAGATAGCGCTGTTGCTATTATGATATCTCGTGGGAATTTGCCTTTAGGTTTTTTTTTCAATTTAAAGATTACTATTGGTGGGAGTTTCTCCCGGCTGCTATATAACCCAAAACCACTGTAAATCATAGTTTTTCATTGCCCGTAGTCTTAACTGGTATTTCACAAGCACTTTTGAAATCAATTGTTAAATCCTGTAGCATGTTAAACTACATAGAAGTTTCATCGAAAGATAAGATATATTTTTTTTCAATATTATGAGCTTTTTCATGCAATGTTTTAAGAAAATTTTTAATGATTACAGGCATATCCTCAGAGATTTTTTGTGCTATTTGAGTTCGGGCACATTTTACTAATCTATATTGTTGCTTGAAATGTTCAGCCCAACTACTTGAAAATTTTATACCTCCAATATTTATAGTTTCAGCTAACCTTTTATAATCATTAATGTTGTCACAGTGCCTTTTTCTTCTCTCCTCTTCTTAATATACTCTAACAGTTCCTTTTCCAACGTAGGTTGTGCCACTTTCTGGCCTCAGCCTGGAAGAACTCGAACTTGTTCTATATTTAAGTCTCTATTATTTCTAATTTTTTTGAGTTCTTTTTTTGTTTGCACCACTCTTGTATGTGTTTACGATCAACCTTATAATACAGAGAAGCTTTACGAATAGAGGTAGTTTCTGCATATGAGATTACTTCAAGTTTGAACACGACAGTAAAACTTTATTTTATGCTCATGTTCGCTTGTAAATGGAGTAAACAACTTGTACATCAAAGCTAATAAGGATAATACCACTTTATATATCGTGAACATTTTGTGATACAAAAAAAAAAAACATACTATACAATATGTTACTTCACGATTTTTCAAGGCTGATACATTATTTGGTTCAATTTTTGATAACTTAGTTAAGTTTCTAAATAGTTCTTTGTATTTGCCCATGATACGATAAATTGTTTCATTTTTTCTAATAGAAGCATATTATCAGTACTGTAATAGTAATAACATTTTTAAGGCAGCGTTGTAAGTATATTATAAGTCTTATTTGAACCGATAATTTTAATAACGATAACGATAATATTATTAAAGCTTTTGAAAATCATGGGTTTAAATACAATTTTAAAGTAAACTAAGCAAACCTGTAATATTATATAATCAGCAATGTGTGCTGGATTACGCCAAGAAATTACAATTTTAGAAATTTTCACAATGATCATATAGTTATTGTTAAACTAATTAAGGTTAATTTCCAAAATTGCTGTTCTTGTTTTTCTTTTTGAGATACCCATATATAAACCTCATTCAAAAAATGTATGTATGTACGTACATGAATTGGATAGCAATAGTGTGAAAAAGTAAAAATAGTAGGTATTGTACTTAACTCCAATAACAGGCTTTTCTTTTTTAAATCGTATTTTATGCTCTATAACCGTCGTGAACTCAAGCAAATTATTCTTTCAAGAAAAAGTACAAATGCCTGAAATTTAAGCGCTATTCCCTTATTTAAATAAAATTGATAAAATTGATAAACTTCTTGATCAATGTATAAGAATCTGAGAATCCAATAAATTAGAACCCAGGTGCGATAAGATAGTATTTTAATAAAAGTAAAAAAGAATATAATAAAACTAGAAAAGAAAAAATTTTGTAAGTAGAACCAAATAACCCAAAACCATTAAATCATTAATAAAACCAGACTATTCTTATTTTCTTGAAAGGTTCTATCATCATTCTATTAATTTTGTTACTTTAAATCTCTTTATGCAAAAATGTACTAGTAAGCTTGAAATTCATATTTCTAATATTAGAAAATTGAACTAAATTATAACTAACTCAAAGTTTAAAATAAGTAGCAAGTAGTTACATAAACATTTTTATAAATATAAAATTGAGCAAAATAAAAATACATGTTTAAACAACTCTTATCTAGCTTTAAAATGCAATGTTTAAATAAATCGTGCCAATATTTCTCTCTAAAATACAGTGAAAATTGAAGGTTAAGGAATACTGTTACTTTCATATTTTAGTACAACTTTTACGTACCTCAATATAAACTTCTAGCCTGTTTAAAATATTCGTTTATAAAAACTAAGAAAAACCTAAATTTATAGGGCTATAAATTACAGTTTTTTTTCTTGCACTATGTATTTATATAATACATACAGGCTTTATTTGAAAACTTGTAACATATATGTATTATTTTGAAAATCAGATTTGATATTAAATTAATGCTCATGCGCATTATTTTGAAAATCGGATTTGATAAAAAATTAATCTTTTTTCAAATTAATGCTCATACGCGTACTCGAAATAATGCACATATACTCAAAATAATGCGCAGATAGGTATTATTACACAAAAATACAGTAATAATATAGTAAAGTAGTGGAGTTAAAAGGTGTGGCAACTTAGTGTAGTAGTCTAGTCATTACCCTCTCCAAGTGGCAGGTCTAGAGTTCAAATCCCACAGATGACGAATTTTGAAAAATAGCCTGTGCTTTGGTTTATGATTGTCGATTATCGGTTGAATCTAGAAATCTGTAATCTTGGTCATACCATCTAGTTATGGGAGCTTTGGCGCAATAAATCTGAAAAACTGAATAACCAAAAACCCATTTGGCAAGTCTCGAGTTTGGAGGTAGTAGTGATCTATGACGGTACCACAGGAGGACTGAATTCGAACTAGGGCCTGAGATCAGAGAACTGAGCAACCAGGTCCTAATAGTGAAGGATATACTAGCCGAACCACCAGGTTGTCGCACCAGACAGATCCAGGATGTAGGTGAGATTTTCCGGGTCACGTGAAAACCCGGCCTCCGATCACCTTCCGATTAAGATCGG